GATGACATATAAAACAGTTCTCTCCTGAGTGAATCCTCATGTGATTACGAAGGTGTGCTTTATATCTGAAACACTTTTCACACTGATCACAAACAAACGGTTTCTCTCCAGTGTGAACTCTCATGTGGCCATTGAGGTACTTTTTCTGTTTGAAACTCTTCCCACACTGCGAGCAGATGAACGGCTTCTCTCCAGTGTGAACTCTCGTGTGAGTCTTAAGACTTTCTTTTTGTGTAAAGCTCTTCCCACACTGTTGGCAAATGTAAGGCTTCTCTCCAGTGTGAATTCTCATGTGAATTGTAAGATTTTCTTTTCGCGTGAAGCTCTTCCCGCACAGTTTGCAAGTGTGAGGCTTCTCTCCAGTGTGAATTGTCACGTGGGCATTAAGGTACTGTTTCTGTTTAAAACTCTTCCCACATTGTTTGCAGGTGTAAGGCTTCTTTCCACTGTGAATTTTCATGTGGGCTTTAAGGCTGTCTTTTTGAATGAAACTCTTTCCACACTGTTGGCAGACATAAGGCTTCTCTCCAGTGTGAACACTCATCTGGAATTTAAGGTTTCTGGTTTCTGTTTTTCGAGTCGGCGAGTAAGTACAAGTTTTTTCCCCACCCATGAAATCATGGTGTTTCACATTCTGATCTTTCTCTTCCATTTCATTCAGTTCTTGACTCTCCTCTTTCAGTGGCATCAGGTCTAGGGTGAAAAGAAACAAAAACAAGTGAACACCAGTTTAACTGCACCAAGACATGAAAGCCTTTAGACAGTAAAACTTCAAATCCAACCACATGTATTCTAGATTCTATACCCACTAAACAACTGAAATATAATCTCAGAACCTCTTGTCAATGTTCTTAACTCTTTGCTTTCTTTAGGACATGTCCCAAATACTTTCAAGCTGGCAGTTATCAAAGCCCTTATAAAAACCCACAGTAGAGCACTGGATTGGGATCCTGCAGGTCCCAAGACAAATCTGGATCAGGCAGATTTACATTTGCTCCGGATGGGAGTGGGAGATCAAAACTACACCACAGTTACCAGGATTTAACAAGAAGAATGCAGTCAGCAATAGTGATGTGTGCTTCGCGATCAAATAATGTTTTGAACCGCTTTTTAGTGCACCGGTCGAACCAGTTCACCAAATTGGACTGAATTGTTCAAAACAGTTTGCATTTGGAGTCAGCACAATTTTCAAAAGTTATTTACTCAAATCACTTTCAACTTCAACTTTATTTATTTATAAAGCACTTTCAAGACCACGATGTGGAGACCAAAGTGCTGTACAGGAAGCCTAAATAAAATATAAGAATAAAATCAAGCATAAAACATTATAAACATATGCCTTAACAACAACAAATTACAAAACATTTTCAAATTCTAATGAAAACAAATGAGTTTTAAGCGCACTCTGAAATACAGGAAGTTTAGGAGAAAATTTTACCGACAGAGGAAGGTCATTCCAAAGCCTTTGAGCAGCAACAGAAAAGGCCCGATCACCTTTACATTTTAAATGAACCATCAGATGTAATTGATCATTAGAACGCAAAGACCTATTGGATTGATGCAAACTGATTAAATCAGAAATATACTCTGGCGCTAAACCATGCAAAGCTTTAAAAACATATAATAGCACTTTATAATGAATCCTGTATCGTACAGGGGCCAGTGTAATTTGATAAGCACAGGAGTAATATGCTCTCTCTTCTTGGTACCCGATAAAAGCCTAGCCACTGAATTCTGAACAAACTGCAGGCGAGAGAGAGAGAGGACTGACTCACACCCAGATACAATGCATTACAATAATCCAAATGCGATGACACAAAAGCATGCACAACTTTCTCCAAGTCCTCAAAAGAAAGGATAGACTTCAACTTAGATATAGATCTAAGATGGAAAAAACTTTTTAACAACGGCAAATAATTTGACGATCAAATTTCAGCTCAGAGTCAAAAATAACATCAAGGTTTTTCACGCTAGAAAGATTTTTCCCAGGAAGTAACCCCAGGCAGTCAGTGACATCATCCACACATCCCTTTTTACCAAATAAAATAAACTCAGACTTATTCTCATTCAGTTGGAGAAAATTCTAAGCCAACCAACACTTAACCTCAGCCAAACATTCATACAGAGATTGAATGGATAAATGATCCTTGCGTTTCAATGGTAAATCCCCCAAGAAATATTAATAGATGATGAGCCACAGGTCCCAATCCTAACTGAACATGTCCTGTCCTGCACATTTGAGGGGAAGCATTTAAGGGCTACAGCCTTGACAGCCACATAATCTCTGAGATGTTCAATATTAAGTTGCCATGATCTAGGGCTAGGCTATCAAAGGCAGCACTTAAATCCAACAACATCAAGGCAGCACTGGTTCAGATAATTACATCTTTCACATGGAGCAGCATTTACTACACAGAGCCGTTCATATAGGTAATTTTAGGATGAATTAAAATTATAGACAGCAAATGTAAAGTTGATAAATTTCATGGTTTGCATTTTCCTACATAAACGTAACTGTTAGATACTTTTACATAACTAAGTGATTGAAATTAATTATTTTAATTGTTTTTAAGATAGAAGTAGATATTGGGTTTAACGTTACACAGAGTAATTGTTTTGTTTTGGCAATGTATTTATTGTTTTTCATAATTTAATTTGTGACGTCATTCATTTTGTCACATGTTGTGTAGTAAATAAAGAGATTCATGATGCAGAATGACTGAAGAAAGAATTCAGAAGAAAAGAATGAAACCAACCTTTTAGCTGAAAAATTACTCTTTGTTATTGTCTTCTTGCATTATGGACAAAATATTTTTCTGTTTGACACTGTAAAGCTGCTTTGACAAACATTATTGTATAAAGTGCTATATAAATAAAGATGACTTGACTTGACCGACCTGTTTGTTCCTCAGTATCTTCATGTTTGACTCTGAAAGCTTCTTCAATCTTCACGTCTTCATCTAGATCTCTGGGGTGTCTCAATCAGCTCCCTAGTTCAGTAGTCAGCACACTAGTAAGGGAGTCAGTCAGAGTGAGAGTTAATGCACTTAAATCACATGATTAGACAAAAACACTCAAAACTAGCGCTACAAATTAATAAATGAACACAGATTATACAGACATTTCATATTTAGGCATTTATGATTTACATTTGGTATGTATTGATTTATTTGTAGATTATGTTTAATAGATAACTTTCATGAAAACATTGTGAGTGTATTTTTAGAGGTTGTCATTATACACATAAAAAACACCAACAGATTCTAAACGTGTCTGAGCTGGTATCACTGAAGAAGATGAGCAATTTTATTAATATTAAACAGGCTACTTGGAATGTTTAAATCTTGTTTTAGTGCAGATTTTAACAACACACACATCTGGGGGGTATTCCAGAAAGCAGGTTATGTGGCATACCCGGGTATGTTTGAGGATAAGCGAGCGGATAACCTCAGCTTTCGGTTCCAAAATCGGAGGCTACTTTCAGGGCATGTAAGTAACCATAGCAACTTGCTCTCTGAAGATAACCTGCTCCGGAGCAGCTTCTGTTCCAGGGTTAGTTCACTTCAGCGCACGTGTGATCTACTGACGAGCCTTCAGTGGGCGTGACAGATAGCGCACAGCCGCACAACATTATATAATATTACAATATGTAATATAGCCTACTATATATATACTGTATATGTATGATATGTTAATGATGAAGCGCTAAAATAAGTAATAAATAAGGTAATATATTATTCTAATATGGTTATTATATTTATTTTATTGGCATATATATCAGTTATCTGTATTAATTATAAAACACTATGACAAGGTAATGTTTAAATTAAATCTATATAATATAATATTTATTAAATTTTATAATATCATCTCACACATGGATCGGCATTTTCTATCATGTCTAACAAACAAACAATATAATACATATTCTCAAGTATTAAAGATTTAACGGAAAAAAATAAAAATATTGAAGCATGGCATGCTTTTTCTTAGCGTCCATTTCCATAGTGACTCGTCGATTCGTCGCTCTGTTGAGAATGTCTTGAGTCTTAACCAGGAACATACTCTGAGTTGAATGAACTTAAGCCGAGCCCAGGACTCTGATAGTGGGCGACTCCATTATCAGAAACATCAGTAGCAGGACTACAACAACATGCTGCTTTCATCAAACAACCGTCTCTGATGTGAACAGGGAACTTCACAACATTCTTATGAAACACAAGACTGCAAATCGAATCATCATTCATGTGGGGAAGAATGATATTTGGAAAGAGCAGTCAGAACTCCTTAAAACTAATATTAAGGAACTCTCTGAAACGCTTAGAAGCCTGAAAGTTCAGTCGTTCATCAGTGGACCATTCCTAGCAAGAGGAACTAAAATGTTTCAAAGACAACTGTTTAAACAGGATGGCCTTCACCCAGGGGCACAGGAAGATGTTTTAGGTTGGGGGTGCTGTCCAGCTGGAAACACAACAAGCTTCCTTTATAATCCCCAAAAAAGCTGACATCTCAGTTTATCGTGATCTCACAAAGCTCTTGACTGCACAATGAATTTATAATAATGTCTACACTTTGTTATAATCAGAGGATTTGCCAGCATGCAAAGCTTTCAGCACTGAAGAAAAACTCTTGACGTTTGAGCAGTGAGTGGATTCTAATTTAAACACGTCTGATTGGCCATTGTGTTCCAGAAATCAACAGATATGTCTGTGATTTGCTACATTGCTCAACGCTGCAAAAACACGTTATAAGTCAGGTCAAGTCACCTTTATTAGTATAGCGCTTTATACAATACTGATTGTGTCAAAGCAGCTTTACGGTGTCAAACAGGAAAATAGTTTGTCAATAATGCAAGAAGACAATAACAGAGTCATTTCTCGAGCTAAAGTCAGTTCATTGATTATTTAGTGACGTCATCGTCCAGTTCAGCTCTCTTCCAATAGTCTCTGTGCAATCAGTCAAGCCTCTCCAACTAAGCAAGCCAAAGGCGACAGTGGCAAGGAACCAAAACTCCATCAGCGACAGAAATGGAGAAAAAACCTTGGGAGAAACCAGGCTCAGTCGGGGGTATATATTATATTAACTATATGCACTATATTAAGTTGCTCAAGCAAGTGGAAACACATTTGAACAAAGCATATAGCTTTCTTGCGTTAGGTTATCACAAATATTTTAAATTAAAACTTTAAACTCGTGCCTTTTACATTTAAAACTTTATTACAAACAGTCCCACGGGTCTTAAAGGGGTCATATAATGCGATTTCATTTTTTCCTTTCTCTTTAGAGTGTTACAAGCTCTTAGTGCATAAAGAAGATCTGTAAAGTTGCAAAGACTAAAGTCTCAAATCCAAAGAGATATTCTTTATAAAAGTTAAGAGTCAGCCACACCTACCTAAAACGGCTCGTTC